ACCACATCAGTTTTGTCAATAAACAAATACCACATCAGTTTTGTCAACAATAGCTCTGCCTTTCATCTACATGTTTTTCCTACATAATTCCTGCTGTGGGAAAAAGATGTTTCAGAATGAAACAAACCAAATGCTCACTTCTGCTTTAACCTTAATGTCACACGATTCTATATACTTATACACATTATTGCAGCTCTTTATAAAGTGAAGCCAATGTCAAAAAACATCCGTTCTAAATAATCTTTAATCACTTCAAGTTCCTCCGATTGGATTTTTAATTTTCAGACGTGTAGTGAACTAAGCCTCAGGTCAAAATCTGGCCCTGAGGGCCTTCTTGGGACAAGAACTGTTATTTCATTGATTTGAGTCAAGAAACACAAAATTAAGTTCATCCAGAGACTTTCTAAGTGTCCTGCACTGATCAATTGAAAGAACACTCTCTTTTTATTATCATTACTATTTTACAAATGTCTTGATAATCAAAAGTGTGTTTAGTTCAAACCATTTTTAAATGTTGAAGTGAACTACTCATTTTAAATCAACTGTGAAACAGTATTAATGATTTTTAATCCTCATTCAAAGTAGAAATCTAGTTAATGTCTGTTACAGAGTAATTATTCATTTTCTTGATCTTCTGTCTGAAATGAGCAGGTTGGTTGTAAGTCGGTCAAGAGTCGGAGACAAACGCAAACAAGTTTGTTGGAACGAACTGTCATGTTTTTAAATCCTCTCAGACGTAAATAGAGAAGCTGGCACCTGTTTCCTCCCAACTCGCCTAAACATTTCTCTGTCTGTTTCAAAAACATTTTTCTGTCTGTTCCAAAAAATTTTTCTGTTTTTCTGACTTCTAGTGACCTCTTACGTCACTAAGACCACACCCCTATTGGTTCGTTTCGACCAATCAGGAAGTTCTCAGAGGAACCGGAACTGACCTCTTTAAAAGGGTCAACACTTCCTAGTTCCAAGCAGTTCGGAACGCAGAACGCAGAACAAAGTTCCGAGTCTCGTGGGGATTATGGAATCTTCCACATCTGAGTGGAACCTCTGACGGACTCACAGCTCATGTGAGTCCACCCGTGAGGTGAGCGTGTGTTGAACGAAGTACCGTCACTACTCCGGACGTTTCCCAACCATCCTACGGAGATGCTGGAAATGGTAGCGTTAAATGGAACTCCGTACCAGCTGATTCATCTTCAGAGAGGTAACGAGTCGATTTCCTACCGAAGCGTACCGAGGTGGAGCTGGGTTCGAATGGAGAGTGCCGTTCTTATACAGACACATTTTCCCTCACACATCTTTTCTCTCCATTTAAACTCCCTCATTTCCCATCTTTAAAACTCTTCTATCTGCCAGTAATTAATCCAGATATTCTCAGAAATGTCTGTTGTAATTAGTTAAGCTGTGTTATTGCTTCAATCAGAATAATCACGTGTACAATGTTTGATGTTAAACTTTGATTCTGTTAATAAATGACCACATTCATTTTAATGGGTCAAAGATAATTAACGTCTCACGTCACTGATCTCTGTCACATATCTGTCAAGGAGCTCAAAAAAGAGAGAACCCGTTTAAATTAAGTATAATATCAGGTACTTGAACTAGTCCAGATATTATAACGTGTAGTGTAGCTCCGAAGCTAACCGACCTATCTCACTACAGACGAATGAAGGAAACTGATTTACTTCTGAATTCTTCACTTTGAAGTCACTAAATTCTCACGGTGCCATTATTTCAAAAGTTTTGGCAAAAGAAACGGTTTTTATTGTGAATCGTGTCTCTAATAAATATGATATGATGTAGGGAGTGTGTCTGGTTATTCACCAAAGAGGTAGTTGAAGATTGTTTCGCTGAGAGTCCTGTTGATTTTCATGAAATCGGCCAGGCCGTTAAAATACTCTCTGGACGGGACCCAGTCGGGTTTCTCTGCTTTCTCCGTCTCCTGACATGGATAATAAAGCCTGAAGAAGCTTCCCTGGGGGGGGGGGGGGACATTTATTATCCTTTCAGACACGCAGCATATTTTATTTTTCTTTCCTTCTTTCAGGATTATAAACAGATTGAACTGAGCTGCAGGTAGATCTTTGCCTGTCCCCACAGTCCACTCTGGTTCTGTGCTTTCAGTACTTTTACCTCCTTGCTGTGGTCCATCATGAAGTCTGTGCAGCCCACCAGGTTGGGTCCCTTTGGTGGAGGAATCCCAAGATGACTGCATGAGTTCCCCATGGTCCACACACCAGGTGTGCACCTCCACACCTGTCAAAACAAACATCTCTGAGGAAATACTTTCACTGTAACGGAGTCAGAGCTGCCTCATTACTGTTGCTGGTTTGATGATCACGTTTTCACTGTAATGGAGTCAGAGCTGCCTCATTACTGTTGCTGGTTTGATGATCACGTTTTCACTGTAATGGAGTCAGAGCTGCCTCATTACTGTTGCTGGTTTGACAATAATCAACAGATTAATGAACGTTGTGTTTTTTGGTGCTTTGTTAGACATAAAGTGCCAACATGAATAAAAGAACTACATGTTTTTTCAGGGTTATCCTTCCTGAACAGTCAGAAAAGCCTGCAGCTCTTGTACAATCATTAGATCAATTGTCTCATGTCCTACCTGTCCTCGTCCTGTCGGAAGTGTCTTCAGTAAGTGAACAAATGCTCCATGAAACAACCTGGACTGTCCGTCAGAGCTGAGAAAACATCGAGACGAAGGAGAAACTAAACGGCCGCCCTGTCACATTATTACTGCGTAAGATGTTTCCTGAGTCACCCGGTTCGGTTCGGAGGACCCTATTGGACTGGACTTGTTTTGACTTGCTGAGTTACACTTTCCGTGCAGGGTTGCCAAATAGAAAATGGCGAATTATGTACTGTCGTTTTAACGCTATCTATAGTAACTAATGCGCATGCGTGAACTCACACTGACGCTAACAACTGACGCCACGCCTCCGAATAATTTCTTAGCCATTTCCGGTTGGCGTTCGTCTGCATCTTTTAGGTCCTTTTTATCTTCTTTTTAAAATTAATATTATGAACAAACATATTTGTAAATTAGTTATTTTGAGTATTTTATGTTGTGACAGCGACATGTTCACGGCTGTGTGAATGACTGCAGAGGATAAACAGAGTTACATATGAACAGTTATACTGAGCGTGTTTCAACCAGCAGGAACTAGGCCTGAAACTGTCTGGACCACAGAGCACAAAACACTGATTTTGATATGAACATAAATCTGTCAAGTGTCGTCTCACAAAATGCAGGAAACAGCTGAAGAAACTATATAGTTATATATGACAAATGAGGGATATTTGGCGGGTTATGAGTAATTACGATTTATCTGGCAACACAGTCACGCAATGAGTCACGTGACAGCCGCCGCTCTTCCCTGCTCTGCAACACATAATTATCATATAAAAGGCTCATATTAATTATTAGTTATGCTGAATGGTAGTGATGGGTCGATGAGGCCTCATGAAGCATTTCAACCAGAGCCCTGTAAAGAGAGAGTTGCGACACGCCCATAGAAAGAATGGAATGCGGAAGTCACGTGGGTCATGCAGCGGTAAATAGTTCCAAACAGCCGATGTTCAGCATTGAACGTAGTTCATTCTCCGTGTTTTTCCGGTAAGTTGATGAAAATACGACACTTTTTCTCCATTGTGAAGCGTTATCTGACTGTTCTGTACCACAATTTATCAACATTAATACTTCATGTCTCCAGTTTTGATTTTGATTTCTTAAGATTTTGCTTTTGGAAACTTTAATTCCTCTTTTTCTGGATGTAAATCACATTTTTTGGATGATTGTTTCCTCTGGTATCAGAAGCTGTGCAGCTGGAAGGATTTTTACTGAAACTTTTTTTTAGTTTTGGACATTTGTTATGATGCGTAACCATGGCAACAAGGCAGTTTTCTACAACAACAGCAGCTGATTAACATCTCAAAAGCTCAAATAATATCTCAACTACAGCCCCAAATCTCAGATGAGTTGAAAAGGATGTTCTGTGGACGCATTCTCATCTACCTGCCAGCTGTGCTCGAGTGCCTGACCATTGAGATCCTGGAACTAGCAGGAAACATCGCTCGTGACAGCGGAAGGACAGGATCGTACCTCACCACCTGCAGTTGGCTGTCCACAGTGATGAGGAGCTCGGCAGACTGCTGGGAGGAGTGGCCTTGGCTCTGGAAGGAGTTCAGCCCAGCATTCAAGCGGTCCTACAGTCCAGGGGAACCAGGAGACCAGCCGAGTCTGGGTGGACGGATCGGACGGCATCTGCAGCCAGTTTCTTAGGATCCACTGTGGGATGGACCTTTACAAGAGATCCTTCCTGTTTACAGCCATCAGCATCTATAACATCTCTTAATGAAATGAGGATAATGAGTTACAACAACAAATAATTTCCCTTTGGGATTAATAAAATATTTTTGAATTGAATTGAATTGTTTTAGTTAATGAAACGTTAAATTACTAGTTGTGTTTTAACTGCAGCTGCTCTGCAACATGACGGTTTAAACGGGTCTATTTCTAATTCAGAGTTTTAAAATATCTATTACTGCTTAAATTTTGAAAGGTGGTCTGTTTTAAATTTATGGTAATTCCAGTTACTGAACTCAACTAGAAAATATTTGGTGTTTTTTCCTGAGAGATTCATTCAACCTTTATTTCTACAGGTAAGTCCCATTGAGCCTCGAGGACTCATTTACAAGAGAGACCTGATTTAACCAAGAATGATGACAACATGACAACAAGACTGACGTCATTTAGTTCAAGTTATAGATCATTTGTCAAAGACTGCAGCGTAAATTGTGACATTGTCATTAAATAAAAACGTGATTGTGGAGATGAGTCAATGTTTTCATGTTTTCCAGGTAAACCAGAGGAGAATGACTTCATGAACTGAATGTTGCATTCAAAGTATCACAAAGGTACAAGATCTCATTTTCTGTCTTCCATTAATCAATAACAGCTGAATCAAGATGTTTGAATAAAATTACTTTAACACCATAACCTTCACAAAGTTGGTATTTACAGCAGGACTGTTCATTTACATTAGTTTTATATTATTAGTTTAGTGTTTGGTAATCATGGGTCAAGTTGAGATGAGACTCTTTCAAGACAGAACAAGAAATAAGAATTATTACAAGAATATATCAGAATCAATAAACTGTAGGACAGTAACAAAACACTTATTAAACTATCACAGGTACATTGAGATGGAGCTGGAAGTTCTTCTTCATGACAGTTGTCTTCATCTGATCTTTTGTAAAAATATGTCAATTTATTTTCCATTAACATTTTTCTTCTCAGGACTGAGTTAATGTTCTTGTCTGTGAGTTTCTTCTGTCCTGCTTATGGATTTTTTTTGTTCTAGTTGTTCCTCAGGTTGTTCATCTCTGTTCCCTGACTGCCTGTTGATCCATCCTCCTGGTCCTGCTGATCCATCCTCCTGGTCCTGTTGATTCATCCTCCTGGTCCTGTTGA